CACCCCCACCATACTGTCCGCCAGACTCACAAAGCAGACAACTCCTAATTAGGTGAGAAGCGCGTTCGTTTATGTCATCTGCGTCTGGTACGATGACAAGGTTGTGTGCGTCTCGCGCCGACAGGTTGCTGTAGCTACGTCAGTCTCTGCGACCAACTAGAACGCCAGGTGTCTAACAGGCTCAAACAGTGGCCTGATACATGGCTGGACGGAAGAAAAGATTGAGATAGACTCAAGGGAAACCATACCCTCAGCTCGTCTACGCCCTTTTTCAAGAGGTCAGGTTCGACAAACCTACGCTTTCGATTGCTTATCATCAGGTAGAGTAGCAAAATTCTAGTCTGCAAATAAAATTTTTCTGTGAGAGAGAGGGCGTTCAAGCTTCAAGCGTTATAGTCTATAATCTATAGTTATAGATTACGGGGTGTAATGGTGAGGATAGGAGGACTTGAAAGAAGACATCTGACGAATAAGTTACTTCTCTGTTTCATCGCAGCGCGATGCGGCAGGTGTGAACATGTATGCAGCGGTCATCTGCGACCAAGGGAGCCTTAGAGTCAGTATGAACGCTCGATGCGAACACAAGGTTGGGCTGACTAACCATACAGCTACTGTTCCTACCGCCGAAATTATCTCCTGCCACAGCTTCTTGGAGTGTCTAACCGCCACTTTTGAAAGATGATCCGGAATGACTGGCTGACGTCTCGCTGTTGGCCACTGTCCACTAAATGAGCAAAAATTACAGCAGAGCTGGACGATTTTAAGCTTTGACTAGGCAAGGCAGGATGGTGCAGCCGCATGCGCTTGCATAGGCGCCCAGTTGCCTCATAGGAGCAAGGAAGGCGTAGATGCCCATTAATGAGGTCTGAGAGGTCAATCCATGCCGGAAAGTAGGAATGCTTGAGAAAATATGTCTTATCTTAGCTGTTAGGTGCGTGCTGTCGACAACATTGCCAAAGCGGCGGTGTGGTAGTTCGCTTGCTGGATATCCTCGAAATAGTAAAGCAAACAATAAATCTTTCTTCTCAGTCTCTGGCACGTCGGTTTTTTTGGAGGGTGGGAGGTGGGCGCTCCTGCATATATTTACGGATAACCGTTTCGGAGAAGCCGTGTCATCGTAGTGCTTTGTACAAGGACGGGTTACTCTTCCAGCGTATCAAAAGTACGTATTCTCCTAGCTAAGATGGAGAGGCAGCGCACTAAGATTCGTTTCTAACTTCGTGGGACGATAATATAGAAATTTAGAAATTTCTCTGTCGACGTTTTTCTTACAAAATACACTTTTACAAATCGGTCCATCAGGAGGTCCAAAATGGAAGGCAATCTCCGTCTGATTTTTCCAAATTGAATTTTAGCATTGGGCGAAGCTCATTTCCTCTGTCCTACGAACCTGATGAGCTTTAAAGTAAGCATTTCGAGATATCAATTGTATCTTGGAAGGTGGTCAAATAACTGTGATACTCAGTCGGCGTGGTCAGTCCTGCCTGCGCGTGTGATGTGATTGACTAGAGGATTAACAGTCAGGCTCAGGGGGTCCTTCGTAATGGGGGTCTCTACAGCATCCATCAAATACATGGAATTCAAGTCAACATTTTCATTAACAAATTTAAAAGACTCTGCGAGTAACGGGTCGTTTGTGGCACGCATAGACGGGATGGCTCTACTTTTTTAGTTATTGTGCCCAATACCATCTGCGGTCGTTAGCACTCGGACTTTTTACTGGGCCCAGGCAGGAAAACGAGTAGAGATGCAAATGTGCGGCACAATTTGTATAACACTGTAACCTCGTTCACCAACGCAACTCATTGCTCTTGCGCTCGCTTCGCCATGGTGCATATGTTGGACAAAATATAGTTGACGAGTACTCAACTGTCGCGACACTGGTTGATTTATCCAGTGGGTATTTATGTTAAGCTGTACGTGCCTAGCCAGCGTCCTATTCGTCGGGCAGGCAACTCTACTGGTAGCGAATCTTCCCTTTTGTGCTTCCCACAGTTAGAGATTGATCCATTTATTGTTTCAATTGGGTCCAGCTGGCTCTCGAGCAAGTGGTGAACAAATCAATTCAAACTACCCTGTAAATCACCGCGTACTACCTGGTAGTGCCTTTAAAACAGTAAGCACGCGTGAATGTCTGCAGTTAATGCCGGTTAACCTTAATTGGCTGATCGGTTGAAAAATGTTATTTGTTTTATGGACGCTTCAATATCAAGGTCACACATACTTGACCATCAGCTTTTTTTAAATTAGCCATGATTATTAATTCGTCCGGAGATAGCCCTTCATTTTAAGCGGCGCAACTACTGTTTGTCCCAACAGTGACTGACTGTTTTTTCAAACCGATGGCGCCTGTTAACTACACCAGTGGGTCCTTGGGGAAAATAAGTTCCTACAGAAGTTGCACTCCTGTTTTACTTGAATCAATGCATTTCGGATTTTTTTGCCAATCGTTATATTTTTTTCTCGAAATAAAGACTGCCTTGTATCTTTTATATTCTAAACTGTCCGAGAACACCTAGGGCTTATTTCGTTAACAAGTTCTTACTTTTATAACTGACTTTCCGATATACTTAGCTGGATATTTATAGATTCAGAGACAGTCGATGGTCTGAACAATGTGTGAACATATCTATTGCCTACAGGTATATTTACACGTAACATAAATGTTTAAGGTCAATTTTACGAAGGCTTTATAAATGACTTTGAAGGTTACTGTCGTTGGCAATTTTGGGCAAGTCAATGAAGACTACCGTTCTGCTGAATGGTTTGTGCTACTCGGTATCGATGTATGACCTTTAAAACCGGCCTGAACTACCAAGCATGGTCATAAGGGAACCCCATTTGCAATTTTTGAAAACTAGCATTAATTTAATATCTTTCTGAAATTTTAAAGAAATTACTGCGCAATCGTTCCTTATACTATCGTTACTTAAAATTTATAAGACAGACTGGAGATCTGTATTGTTTTCCAAAACGTTTCCAATTTGTTAGTT